TCTCTCTCTCTCTCTCTCTCTCTCTCTCTCTCTCTCTCTCTCGCTCGCTCTCTAATTACACGGTTCCTATTGAATTAAGACGAAGGCCAGGGCAATGAATTCCGATCGATGATTGGGCTATTTATCGGTAGTTAGGCCTCCCGTATTACACCCTCTCGGACGTTGAGGGAGCATCGATAACCTTCGGAATCTACATGCATACCGAGCGTGTAACGTGTTGCATTATGGTGGTCGGGGAAAAGCGATAAATTATGCACCCTCCTCGGTGGCACGCGAAGGGTCGCCCGGTGCCCGGGGATCCCCTCGTCCCGCTAAACTAAACTAAACGTATATTACGATGATCGTCGTGCCCGTTAATGGCACGGCACAGTCATAAGATATTGCAATCCGTATGTTACCAATTATATACACGGATAAACGGATCGGCCGTTTCAATCCATTTAAAAATCGGATACAAGATCGTCGTTTCATGAAAATTTCAAAAAATTTGAGAGTTTGAGAGTTTAACATTTAAGAGGAAATTATATTATATTGTTCGAATTGTGTGAATTTATTTATTAATTCGATAGTGAAAGAATGGAAAAAAAAAAAAGAAAAAAGAAAAAAAGTGAAAGAAAGATAAAAGGTGAGATTATAGAGATTATAATTACGATTAAGATAATAATTTTATAAGAATCCTGACATACATTGAAACATTTATTAATTATTATAGATCCAATGTACAAAGAGTGTTTTATCTCTCTGCAACTTATCTTCTTCCGTAATCTTATCGTTTCAACTGGCGTGCGACATACTTATTCCAAAAATCTCCGCGCAAAATGAACTTTTCTTATGAAATTTTTTCTTTCTCTTTCCATTCCATAACAACGTGTTTCAACAAAAATAATTTCAACCAACAGCATCATAAATATCTCAAAATTACTTTAACTCGTTAAAAAAACTCGTAATGATATTGCCTAATCCTCAAATAATTATCTAATCCTCAACAGAGGCGCACAATGAAAAAAAAAAAAGAAAAATGAACAAAAAAAAAAACAAAAAGCGATCAAAGAATCATCTTTGTCGAAGCAAACTCCATTGACTCTTCTCCCTCAAACAAAAATAAAATCAAGATCGCTCTCAAAGAACAAAAACTAATAAATCATCATTAGACCATTAGGTAAGATACGTAATAAATATTAAATAAAGATTCTTTAAAAGTATATTTTAAAATATTCTCCACATTTCCCAAAACGAGGTGCCCTCCCTCGGCCGTAAAAAAATCTGGTTAGGAGCGTGATCATCGACACAGGCTTAGGAGGAGTCGCAGTAACTCCCGAAACTTCGCCGTCGCTCTTTCCTTTCGACTGCGTATCGAGAATCACGGGAGGAGATGGGAAGAGGAGGAGGAGGAGGAGGAGGAAGAAGAGGAGGAGGAGACACGCGGAGGAGACCCAGGTCCGCAGAGATTCGAGGATTTAGCGATGGAATAAAATCGGTATACGGCCTCGTGAATATGTTGTGCCCCCGACACGCCTCGCGTTTCCCCCGAGGATCGCCGAGGAATTCTGACGTTGGGAACGAATATCGCAGTTGTTCGCCGAGGACCATGAATCCGTTTCCCAACAGCTGCTCGTGTCGTTTTATTCGACGGTTGCTCGGGATATTGACTGCGAGACGGAAGTCGATCGCGGTGTGATTGAAGCTATCCAGTGAAAGAAAATGGAAGGTGAGGCGAAATTGAGCGAATTTATCGCGTTTATTTATTTTTTTCTCTTCACTTTTTTCATTATACAATTGAAATTTCCATGCTATACATTGGAATTATATTATATTATATTATATTCTTATGATTTGGAATTGTTGTTAAAAATTTTGTACTTGTAAAATTATTATAAGTTTCAAACTTTAGAAACTTTAGGATCTAAGTTTTACAAAGAATTTTGAAGTTTATCATTGAATGCGATTGAACGATAGAGAGAGAAAATTTGCATTTCAATTCCCGTTCTGACGATCTGACTACAAGCGATGCAACGTAGTTTCTGACGGTCGTAAAACTTTTCGGCCGATTCCGTAGCAACAGTTAAATTAAGAGGTTGAGCGCGAAGAGGTTGTCGATGAAATCTGGGCTCTGTAAATAACACGCGAGTAAACGTGGCGCGTTAAAGTTTGTTCACGAAATTCGAAGGTCTAGTTCCGTGCCGGTTCGAGGCGTCATAAAATTTGCGAAGATTACTCGCGTTCGAAATATCAGTCGTCTGAGCAAGATAAAACGGCAATTAATATTAACTTGAGCAACGTGTCTCGCATAGGGTAATAAAGATACCGTGTCCCGTATCTCAACCAACATCACCGAGAAACATTATCATTGCTCGTTTCCATTGGCGTAGACTTTGATCCCCGTTTACACGACCTTCGAATGTCTGAAAGCGACGTTGCGAATCGCTTTGACCAAGATCAGTGATGTCGAAAACGATCGTCGATTAACTCTTTTCGCTTCGAAAGATTCGAATGTTTCTTTTTTTTTCTTTTTTTTTTTGGATTTTTATCTTCGATTTTCTTACGATACAGTTATCTTCTTTGAAGTAATTCATGTATATTTTTAACATAGCGCGATCGTTATTTTATCAAAATTCAAAAATTATCATCGTATAAAATATTAATTTATAAATAATTCTTTTTTTTAATAATTTTCGATCGAGTCAGTTTCGATACCTCGCTCTCTGGTTATAAATTTTCATCGTAAGAGTAAAGAGTAAGATAAAAACTTCTATCAACGTCACAATTTATTTACTTTTCTAGGAAATTTTTTTTTTTTTTTATATATATAGTTTTCAAGAGTACTAAAAAATTAGACGTGTGTACATTTCGAAACGAAAGATAAGAAAAAAAAAATAAATAAAAGGTTGAAATTTCTGGATCGAATCTGAAACGAAATCTGAATATATTTAATAATTTTCGTTTTTACAAATAATTATTCGTTTAAAATTTAAATGATATCAGTTATCGGCAGATTTCGAGTTATTCCGTTTAATTAAAAGCTATCAACTTTGTTATTAAGGTACTCCGTTTTAATCGACTTAATTCCAGTTTAATCAACTTAATCGAAACACCCATCGGTTCCGTTTTGTACAACTCACTTATTGGATTTCATTTAAGTTTCTTTATTAATTTCGCCGTGGAGAACTTTCATTCATCTGGCTAATTAAAATGACTGTATTCCTCGATTACTTTCCCTTCGTTTCATTTTATTAGCCACACTGATTTAAAATATTATCAACTTTCTATCGATTAAATCTTTGCACATAATAAAATATTACTTACTCCGATTCTATTGATTAATCGTACGTATAATTCTTTTTATATTAATATAAAATGAATTCGTGATATTTCTTTTTTTTTTTGAGAAGTTTATATTCTTTATATTATAAATCTGTTCGTTATAAATTGTTCCATAAATTTTTTAAAAATTATTTATCGAGAAGATCGAGATTGCGAAATTAGTAAAAATTTATTCGCGTTATTCTTCGACAAATTCTGGAAGCATTTATAATATATATAGTTCTCTTCAACCTATTCTCCTCTCTTCCAAATTCTCCACCTGTACAAGTTAGACCATAGTATATCCTGTATAAACCGCATAGAGTAGATCTCGGGTAGAGTGTTATTTATTGGCGGTGCGGTGGTTTGAATCGAGCCAAAGTAGCAGACCAGTCCTCTGTCTTCGGCTTACATTCGAAACCAGCTTGCTAGTTCGATCTTGAACGAAGTAACCATACGGATCGTTTGTTCGAGAGAAAACTAATAGGGTTTGCTGGCTTTAATTAGGTTTTTGCAGAATAAAAAGTCGAAAAGTGGAAAATAAAAGAAGATGCAAGAAGAAGAAGAAGAAGAAAAAAAGAAGAATAATCAAAAAGGGGGTGAAAAGAACGCGGTGTGATGAATTTTAATAGGAGGTAGAAAAATGAAGGAAATTAAGGAATTGAGAAAGATAAAAAAGAATGAAATAATGAATGTATAAGAGAGAAATATTTTGTAGGATTAAACTTTAATAATGAAGTATAACGTTATATAATGTTATTTGTGGAATTTAACATTATTATAAATGTAAAAAATTTACTGAAATATTTTTTTTATCCATATCACTTTTAAAGAAAATTTTTCTAACATTCAAAGAATCTTATTTTAATCATTGATAACAGAAGATTTCATTTTAATTTTAGTTAAAAAATTGGATGAAGATTCAGAATCTCGAATCTTCTCCTTTACTCTTCCCAACAGTTACGATGCAACGATTGTTCTCCATTTAATATACTCGACAGCCTTTGTGAATCGCAATCAACGTGAGTGCAAAGTGTGATAGTACTTTAGTATGCACGTTAGTATAAAACTGAAGCGTGTACCCTTTTTAAATTAAATGACAGTCCTACCTTTTCAAACGATT